TTAGAGGCTGTTTTGAAACAAAAATGTAAAAGAAGCCAAAACCCAAGAACCAGGAGCTGGGACACTTACAGGATGGACAAAACCAAGTAAGTAAATAAATAAAACCCCAGAAAACAAAACCCTAAAGGAGTTAAATATGTGTGTCTTATAGAAGTCACAGTTAGTTGTATGAACACGATTATGCAGACATACATGCCAAAGGGAGGGTGGAAATCTATTCAGTAGCAAAGGCAAGTAAACTGGAAGGAAGCAAATTAACTTCAAATGGAACAGACAGCAAAGATTAGCTGAATAAAGCAGGACAAGTGACACTGCTTAGCCCCTGTAAGAGCCAGTGGAAAAGTGTCAGTATCTTCACACAGGAAATGGGTATCTTTTATGGCTAGAACTTAAAATTCTTGTATGGTAAAAATAGAGCTACTAGATATGGCCTAATGGCCTGCCTAAATCAGAAGCAGATGATACAAGGATGTTGGAAGTGCAGAGATGCTCCTCTCCTTCTGGTTCAACCAATTCCCCAACCTGCTATGAGACCAACAGCCTGAGAAGCACTGATTGAAAACTGGAAAGTGAACCCGCAGTCTTGCTACCCAGTGCCAGTCCCTTTTCCAACCCCAGCATCAGACTCCTCCTCTTTGTGTCCTGTCCTAACCTGCTGTTGTGAAACTTCCATCCAGCTCTGAATGTCACCAGCATCAGGACAAACCTTACATGTATTATCTGGAAAGTGCTGTTTCAGTGTAACAGTGAGGAAGACTCACTCTGTACTAAACTAGAGAGTCCCATCGATGTGATGCTATCACCAAATCTGCCACAATGGCCTGGCATTTATGTCACAGGCACATAAGAGATTTTAGCCCTGAATAATCAAACAAGTCATGTTCTTATCTTCTTAATTAGAAATAATGTATCATATATTTCCTGCTCTGGAATGCTTCTTCAAGCCACCGTGGATCCTTTTCAATGTCCTCCATCAGACTATCTCATTGAGACCCACCCCCTCTTCCTAGGATCCTCCTTCCTCAGACGCAACTCCCCTGGAACCAGTCCCACAGAAATAAAACACTTCCACCAGCCAGGAGGGCAAGACCACATTCTGTTTAATAACAACTCCATAAAGGACTGTACATGCTATTTTGAGCTACCTCCCCTCCTTTACTGTGGTTGCTGCCACATACAGGCATGGAGGTGTATAGTGCCATATATTTTCCTAAGTCTATATGCAGTGTGTGTACATGTATGTATGTGGTTGTACATGTATGTATTTATATAGCTTTCCAGAAGTGTTATCTCATAAGTCACATTATCAAAACATGCGAAGTATATCCAACAAAAATTTTCAGGCAAACATGTTTTGGAGCTGGAAGACCAAAGGCAAATCAAGACTCAGTTTAGTTACTAAGGGCTAAGGTGGGACAAGTAAGGATGAAAGCTTTCCATATGGGTCCCTTTCCCTTTATGTTTTTCTTCCATTTAGTACTTTCCCCCCAAACATCAATGCACCTCTGTAAACACTAGCCTGAAAGAAAACATACAATCACCATGCAGCTACCCCCTACAGAAAATGTTTACAGGCTCTGTAAGCTCTTTAAAATTGCTTTGCAACAACCTCTGTTGTCCCATACACTTAATGCTAAAGCAGTTTCAGATACTGAGAATATAACATTTGAAGACCCAAGTCTTTAGTGAATTTTAAACATGCTTCAGGAATCCATTCCGCATGCCACCGAGACTCCCATCCACCACCCTTTTACCTCCCACATCCTCAGGCTGTACCCTCCCGTATCTGAAAACAGCTGAAACAAGAGAAACCCTGTTCCCCATAAAATTACTTTGGAGTCCAAATTTTATAGCATAGGGATTCCCAGAGACGTCCAACCATGCACAACATCCACAAATCAGAGAAGAAAAAATGAAGCCAAGTAAGAATATATACCTGCAAAAGAGGTTTGGGCTTGCTACGTTGCTCACACATGCAGTATCTGAAAAGAAGGGAAGTCCACCTGCACTGGGAACATGGCAGAGTTCTGGAAAAGGGTTCTCAACCTTTTGACCTCCAACTCATGACCGAATTTCCATGTCCAATGAAAATGAATACAGAAAGCCAGGGAATCTGGACTAGATGCCTTTGCCTTATTTGAAGTAAATCTTGGCGCACGATCTTGTCTCCGTAATGGAGGAAGGCGCACGATCTTGTCTCCGTAATGGAGGAAAGCCTTTTTAGATGTTTTTGTCTTGCTAGCATGGATATTTGATCCCTTATGGTAAAGCAAAACCAAGACTTGGTTTCAGAGGGCATTACAATGTCCCCAGTCAACGCAGATGAGGAAGATCCTCACTAGCATTCTTTCCACAGAATACTGCAATCTCTTTCTTCGTGGAAGGCAGCAGCTACTACTCATCAGTAGTAGCTCCTGAGGGAGGTTGGAGCTAGATGATCTTTAAGGTCCCTTCGAACCCAAACCACACTATGATTCTATGATATCTGCAATGAGAACAGTCTTGATAAAGTCTTTATGGTTTTAGTAAGCAAACTCTTTCTCAGAGAGTGACTGCCTGACTACATTTTTTCTCTGCCAACAATGTGTATCTGCACCAGAAAAATCTATCTTTTTGTTGTTTCTTTGTTTTTCTTTTCCTGCACAGACCAACACTGATGATCGCAGAGCTGCTCGTGATTTTCAAGGACAAGATAACACTTTGTTCTGCTATGCTGCAGAAAAATGTCAGTGGAAGGATATAAAATAGAGCCCAATTCTCTAAGCACGGGTCTTCCATGTCTACTTGTTAACATCATAACCATTTGTGTCCATCCCTACCCCAGTGAATTCATGAAGCTGGCTGCACTGCTGAAAGAGTGTAGTGTTCCAGACAGCCTTTCCCAGGGTCCATGACATGTTCTGGGACAGAGATACATTGATCTGGCACAGATGTCCTGCTCTTCTCTGCTGCTCCTCTGCAGGTGGGTCGCTACTACTTAGCCTGGAAAAAGCCTATGATATAAAAGAGGCACCTGACATTGACTTTACAGCTTGCATTCATATTTGAGACTGTGCTTTAATGACTGTAGGCTGTCCTACACATACATTTAGTTCTAATAGGCACTACTTTACTCACATTTTCCTGTTTATTTGTCCTTTCCCTGAGCCATGGCATAGAAGCCTTTCCCTGTCAGATTGCTACAGGGGAGGAGAATCAAAGATGAAACTTCTTTATGTTTTCCTAGGTGTACTGGCATCAGCTGCTGAAAATGCGTGTATATGAATGGTGGTTGGTTTGGTTGGTTGGTTTTCTTTCCTTTCTTTTCATTTTCCTTTTGGAAAAAGTCAAACAGTTTCTTTAAGGGAAATCCCAGATTGTTTGCAATTGTCTGAACAAGGAACATGGGACATTCCTTCTGGGAGAAATGAGAGGGAAGAGCTTAGACTATGCCAATGTTGCTCTGCTCTCTACAAAATATAGAGGTGGATTTATTTGAGTCTGTTTCTCCTTCTAGGCAATTGTCAATACAAGAATTAAGGCAAACTGAGCTACATTTAGATATTTGGGGCTGCCAGTGAACACAGATCACACATTATCTTCATTTGGACAATGACTAAGTTCCTATTTGGTGTATTTCTTACACGATTTCCCTGAAGAGTTAAGTATATTGTGAAGTGTTTCGCAACCATGATGAAAAAGAAGCCAGCAGGTGCTCTAATTCAGGGAGGTCTCTTTCCTACCACTGCGTCTTTCAGAAGGAAGTATGGCTTGGACCAAGGAGTACTCTAAGCTACCCCTGGAGCTACAGCTTCTGTAGCGATTCTATAACCGAGCCTATTCTTCCTGGAGTCTGCCATGGTAAACATAAGATGTCAAGCCTTTCTTGATCTTTTTCCCAAGCCTTTCTCTCAATGTCTTTCCCTCTCTGGCTAGACTTCTCCTTGCTATTGCACTATTGCACAGAGCACACAAAGTTGTCCACAAGCCTGTACTGTCACACACTACTTTGCCTTACCACCATACCTCATACCTTTGTGAAATAAAGAGAATAGTTTCCTTCTCTCCGCTTCTCTGGGCCTACAACTAATAGTTTTCAGTTGTTGTACAGAGTACATAATGCACAGGCTCTGCCTAGGTGTGAAGTGCCATTCTGGATCTCACACTAAACTGGAACTAGCTTAAAGTTAGGGATAAACCTCACGTCCAACAGCTGTGCTTCACTCCTGCACAAGGCTCTGCCTCTTGCCATTACAGGAGAAGACTTATCAGCATCTTTAGCTGCCACGGATCACTGAGTGCATATGATACTTGTGCATGTTAACTTTACTAATTCTGTGCATATATCACGTTACTTCTCTCCTCCTGCCTGATTGCAAAGATTTATCTCAAAGGAGCCTGTGGAAGGGGAGAGAATAGTGAGGGAGATAACAGGGCATTAAATAACAACAAAATCCAAATCAGGTAAGAGCATACTAGGAATTCTAAGGAAAACACTAGAGAAGGAAAGGGGGAATATGTCCTCCCTGGTACTCTAGCTGGGTTTATTCTTTTCAAACAGATATTTTACAATCAGCTTAAGCTAATTTAAATTGCATCTGCAACCAAAGAATATTCTTCAACATGACTATCTGCACGCATCTCCAGGCCACAGTGATGCTTGCCTTACTGAGTAAACCAATACAAGGAGCTGATCCCACTGAAATCCTTATCTTGTCAAGAGACTGGGTTAGTTTTCAATGGGGCCAGTTTCTGAGCAGCCAAATGAGTGTCAGCACTGTGCTTCTTAGGCAGTAGAAGTATACAGCTGGTGGTGACAGAAGGGAGGAGGCATGACAGCTCTTTTTAGCAGCTTAGACTCATCATGAGGTTGCCATTTCAAAGTGCACTTTCCCAGTCTCCCTAACCTGATGCAAAGGCCAGCTGCTGAGACCAGTGCTCTCTCTCCCTCTGCTCACAGCTGTTCCCTCTTCACTTTAATGGCAAGCCAAAAGTGCTTTAACTTGCTGTGGGGTCAGCTGTGCACCAGCATCTCACAAGAATTACAGATGGGAGGTGAGCACAGTCAGGACAGAGAGCTGCTTTCTTCATAGCAGCTTACCACTTGATCAGAGGTATGGATAAACCCTTTCTCTGCTGCAAGCCTATCATGAATGGGGATGTTTTAAGGGGGAAAAGCAAGTGGGTGACTCGTCAGCAGCTTCCTGGAAGCAGATGATTTAGAGGCACAGAAACTGAAAGAAACAGATTGACTTTTCCACCCCACAGCCTAAGGTAATGGAGTTGAAGAGAACTCCCAAGGCTTGTAAGGAAAGCTTGAGATTTATATAAAAGAAAAACTGATGAAATAGTGTAACTTGTCAGATATGAGCAATCACGGGAAAAGGAACAAGAGAGAATTTGCTTGCAGTGGAATCTGAGATTTTTTTTTCAGTTATGGTCACTTGTGTTCAAGCCTTCCTTTGTGTTCAGCACAGTAACTTCAACAAGCCCCTGCTGAAGATAAAGGCTTGGGGGGAAATATGGGAATCTTCTACACCCACTGCTTCAGGAAAACCTCACCTTTTTAGGTTGTGCAGCTCTGCTTTACAAAGGGTTTGTGTACATGAACAGCAGGGCTCGGTTTCTTAGTAACGGCAGCTCAGGGATACTGAGCTTACCTTTCCTTTTTATTTTCAGCCCCACAAATGTGATTTGGGCTCTGAGTATTTGGCTGTACTCTCTCCAACTCATTCCCCCTCACCAGGATAAAAGAACTGCAGGCCAAATTGTGCTCACAGAGCACCTGTGCCTTCCATATGCTTGAATAGGTGTAGCTATATAATAACAACAGCTTTTCTGGGAAACATACAGTAGGTTCCAGGTCCCTCTCTCTGATCTTGGATACACACAAGCAGCAGGTCTGTTACATAACAAAAAGCCAGGTTATACAAACCATTGCCCGTTTGCAAACAGATTCAAACTGCCTTTCCAGTTCAGCTCAGGATGCTCACTTGGGTAGCAAGTGTGGATGGGCAGACCTGCTCTCTCCAGTCAAGCTCGTGGCAAGTGTAGATATATTTCTCTTTTGGACTGCAGGAAGGTCATGGTAAACAGCCTTTTTGGGTGAGAGTTTTTGTGGTTTTCTTTTGGGGGGGGGGGGGTGTTACTTTTTGGGGGGTTTGTTTTTTCCCTTTTTCCAGAAAAAGGCTGAAATTGTATTTTTCACAGAAAGTCAAGACCTTTATGAAAAAAAAATGTGTCAAATCTAGTAAGCTTGAAAGATATTTATAGCGAGTAGTGTTCAAGCCAGTCTGAACGATAGTCTATCTACACAAGTTACAGAATTACACAGCAGGGTATAAGTTTCTGTCTCTTTCCACAGAGATTAGAAAACTCTACAAATAGGTTTTGGCTTCCTGTTGAACTCCATAGAATCTCCTATAAGGTGATTTTGTTTCCCCACACCTTTTCCTATGTGGCTAATTCCCTGTCACTGCCCTGTACGGAGATGATGCACATCTTCCTGACATCAATCAGACATCTTAGTAAATGTACCACACATGTCCACATTAAAAGAAGCCATGGACAAGTTGACCCACTTGTCCTGTAAATAACACAGAGGGACCATTAGAAGCTACTCTGAAAGTTACTGTGAACGTCCAGATTGGTCCTGGAGAGGCACATGAGGACAAAATGGTTTGGAGGAAAAAAGCAAGAAGCCACCTAAATCTTCTCCCATAAAGGAACATGCTGAACCCTTTTTGTTCACCTGAAGCCTTAAATAAATAATAAATAAGGAAAAGTTAACATTTATTCATTTGTCATCTGCTGAGGTGCTCTTGGCTCTTGCCCCTTCTCCCTGATCTGGCTACTGTGGTGTCCTAGGTCCTGCTCCACGGCTAGACCCAAACCCGTTCAGGACAATGAGCTAGCACTGGCCCTGCAAGAGCTGTAGGAGATCATCTTTATCAAGCCTTCCTGCCTAGGGGAGGTTAGCACTTCAATGTGTAAACACCTTTAAAGAGCCATTGAAAGGTCACCCTTCAGAAGAGCTGCCTCCTTAGAGAGGTGTGAGCATGCTCAAGCAAATGGGTAAAAAACAGTGGTCACAAAACCCTTTATCTCTTACCTACACCAAACTACCAGTCATACTTAAAACATCCCAAATGTCTTTCCTTTAGAGGTGCAACGGTGAGGGAAGACAGAGCCGCTTACGTAGACCTGGCTGGAAAGACTCGGGTGTTCACAGAGGAGACCCTCTTCATGCAGCTGCCTGTGTAAGTGGGGGAAAAGCTGAGTGGGGTAAAGTTCTACCTGAGAGTCCCATTCATACTTTTCATAATTCCTGGATATCACCTGCTTTGCTTGCTAGGAGCTGTCTGAACTGTGACTCTTGATGATATTACTTCAGGCACATTATATTCTCCTTAGACATTCTTCCCTGCAAATACGCTGGGACTAAACCTGAACCAGGGAAGAAGCACGTAGCACTCTCCTGTCATCCAAACAACGCACAAAGCCTGAAGAGGAGGCAAAGAACAGACAAATGTGTCATGAATTAAACAGAGTAGATATCAGTCAGTGTAAGTGAGAAAGAGTTGCCTCGGGACAGTATGGCAGTGCCCAGGCAAATTCCTTTCCCTAGCTCATCAGATCTAGCTCTGATCTAAACCCATGTTTTGCTGATGCTTCCTTACGAGTGGTATTGCAATTAAAACTCAGCACCTGGTTAATTTCTGCTGGTTCTGTTCACTCCTCCTGCACAATCCATAGCCTTGTACATTTCTTCAGGCTGCTTTTACCCCTGTTTATTTTCTGGTGAGAGCTCAAAAGGAGACAGGTCTTTCCATTTCCTTTCAAAACCCCTCTCCCTCAAAAGGAGGTCTGTAGAAACATGGCAAGGAATTCTGAGAGACCGAATTCCCCCTGGTCAATGAACCTTGTTTTTTTAACAACAACAACAACCGAAAATAGAACCTGTACAAATAGGTAGAACAGCTGAAATCAGCTCTCTCCAGTCCTAAAAAGGAGATGGAAGAGAAAAACAAACAGACCAAGTACTGAGCATTATTTATATTGCTTGGGGGTAGGAAAACGAAAGAAGAAAATATAGCAGGCAGAAGAAATAAATAGGAGGAGAAAACTTCATCTCGCTCCTTTTTCTTCCAGCTATATTTGGCACTGCAGAGGATAGCCAGAAATGGGAAAGGTGCAGGATCTCTATTAAGTGATGACTCGAGTACAGGTCATTCCCACTACTAACTTGTTAGGAACACTTACGCAGCAATATAAAAAGGTTAAAAAAAAAACCAAAACTGAAAACTCCAATGTAAACTGGGTATCTGTGATCTCATAGCTGTACACACTGCTCCTGGATCTGCTGCCTGTTCTCTAGGTCTCTCCATACTGCTGGTAAGGGAAAAGACAGAAGGATGCAACAGCAGCAGCACCAAGCTGGACGTGTCCTCAAGCCCCTATAAGACTCAGGTTTTATGACTATCTCCATAGCTGAAAACGTCCTTTCCACTGGCATCAGTTGCCCAATGCCAAAAGGACACACTGCTCCTGCAGCTCCTGGGAAGGCAGAAATTTCAAGGGAAGAAACAATTAAATGAAAGAGACCAAAGCACAAATATCTGAGAGCAGGGTTAGATTCATATCTGCATCCATTCTTCCATGCCACAGCAGAGCCATGCGCACACAGCTACAACATCTGTACTGCAGCACAACCCGTGCCCACGGAGCACAGTTTGTATCCATTGAGCCTACAATTTCATATCAAGGTGCTAATGAGGATCTGGTTACCCAGTGAATCTTTCATCTCTGTACAGTCTGTATCAGCCACAATCAAAATACTAGTGCAATCTATATTTGTAAAGCCATATCTTCATTTTAAACCAGTTTATACTCATATATTCTATCAAAGGGGACCACGTCCACAGAGCAATATCCATTCTGCCAAGATGGATTCTAGCCACACAGCTGCTCTCTATACCATGTCTGTTTCATCAGCAACATCCCCAGTACCAGAAGAGTTTGTATCCACAGCCAAGACTTTGTATTAAAAAGATTTAGAAATTATTTACCAATCCAGACCTCTCCAAGCACCTCACAAGTGTTGCCCAGAGCAATGAAAATCAAAAACGTGTGTCCATGGAAGAGGGGAAGGAAAGGTCTTCATGTGTCAATCACATTGAGATTTTCCTCTTGTTTAAAAAAATAATTCAATGTCAGGAAGAGAACATGTGTCTGCTCGGAAGTGTGGGGAGCTGGAGAATCCCTGTAATTTCATCCCTTGCCACCCCTTTCTTGGTTCAGCAGTGATGAGAACTTCACAGAAAGCATCAGTTGTTTGTTTCCCCCTCTTCCTCATCAAAGGACTGCACCCCAGAGGAGGTGACATCTGAGACTTTGCGGCTCAGTGCAGCATGTTCCATCTCCTCTCGAGGAGACAGTGATTCCAGGTCCCGGCACACTGCATCATCCTCCTCTGGAGATGGCTTCTTGTTTAGGAGAGGAGCCTTCTCCAGCTGTGGGTTCCCTTCATCCTCAATGTGGTCCTCCATGTACGTGCTGGACTCTGCCCCACACTGAGCAGTCTGCAGGGGCCACACGTGGACCAGCCCTGTGCTCTGGATGAAGTTCTGCTCCTGCCGCTGTTGCTGCAGCTGCTGCTGCTGGAGAAGGCTGCTCTGAATCAAAATGCTTTCCTGAAGGTTTGTCTGGGATTCATCAAAATTCTGGCCTAAGTAGGAGGCAGTCGCTGGGGAAGCGATGAGGGACTGGTCACTGGTCTCCCAGGCATCGGATGAACCTAAGCAATACATGCCCTGTGAGACGTAGGAGTGAGGCCAGCTATCATACTGCGTTTGGGCCATATGCTCTGCAAGTGAAGGAGAGAAAGAACACAGTTAGACACTTTGTCTAAGCCAAGCTGGCTTATACAGATAGCTTATGCGCCTGTGCATGACACTGTGCTGTACAGGGTAGATAAATCCTTTAGAGGAGAGGAAAAGCCACTTCTAGGCAGATGAACTTGGTTATACCCACAACTGACTGCAAGAGCTGGCAGCTTTCCACAGGTTGTGCCCAAAAAAGGCAAAGGAACTGGGCTTTGGAGCCTCCCTGTTAATACTAGATTCCTTGGACAGCTCCACAAATAGGTGATGCCTCTGCTATATCGAAATCACAAAAATTGAGGCTACAGAATAAAACAGAGTAGAGGGAAATAGGGCAATATGGAAATAAGAGGAGGGAAGGGGTGTTCCAAGACTAGCTAGAGGCACCAGAGCTCACCTTGGCTTTCCATTAGTTCTTGATAGTTCTCAGAGTAGTTGCCTGCTGGGTTCTCCTGGTTTGAGTTTACACTCACATCCTCACCATCCATGGAGGACCAGGCCATGAGAGTTGCCTCAGAAATAGCAAACTGTTCCATCACTCCTGTGCCAAAGGAGACAGGCAGGGGAAGCAGGGATGTGTGAAAGCCTCTACTTCTCACCACACTCTCTAATCTCATCTCTTCACACTGTCCCACTCAGCATGTCCCATCCTACCTCAGCAACACCCATCACCCACAATTGGCCCTCACCCTCTCCACCTCTGCATTTCATTGGCAATACTCCAACCACAGTCTCTCTCTCCTTCAGCCACGTGAACTATCCACAGGCTCTAGGCTCCTACACTTTGGTCTCTCAAGGTTTCTGCTCTGGGAGATCCCAACCAATCCAACCCACGTGCCAAGAAGTTAGTGCTACCTGCAAGGAACCGGGCTTCCTTTTCACCATCGCTCAGATCTGAGTAGGCATCAGCGTCTTTGCGTGCTGTCTCATGCGTGTGCTGCTGCTGCTGGCTGTTACCTTTGCCCCAGCCTTGCCATTCAATCATGTGAGCCACCCGGCCTTGGCCCATAGCTGTTGGCTTTGTGACATGGTCCTTCATGCTGCGAGATATCCCTAAGGGGCCAGACGTTAGAAAACAAGGAGGGGCTATTACACAGCTCCAGGGTTGCCTGCCACACTGTTTACCTCTCATGGAAGTGGAGTTTCTCCCCTCCTTTCCTGACAGGGTTCATGCCTGGGGTTGGGTGTCTCCCACCTTTCACTGAATCACTCTCCATCTTTCCTTGATCTAGCTCTTAGAAGGAGGAAAAAGGGAAACCCCAAATATGAAAGACAATTTCTTTCCTTGCCTAGAATCCATTTAGGACAGATTTGGGCATAAAGGATGAAGCCTGGAAGTGAACAAACTGAGAAATAAAAAATGGGGTTAATCCCAAGGCTGCTTGAGGGTAAGCAACTGAAGATGTCTGAGCTGGGGTGCATGGTGCAAAGCTGACAGGAGTAAGACAAAGCTGCTCTTTGAAAGGGCAACAACTAAGAGATTTCTGTATCTAGAACCATAGCAGCGGATATTCCTCTGAGGCCTCGAAAAGGCAAGACTCAGAAAGGAGCAGTTGGGAGAGCAACAGAGGGATACGTGAAGAAGCACAAAGGCTGGCAAGGATAAAGCCGAATTTTGAGGACCTCACCAGAGAAAGATGATTTAGCCAAAGCCCCAATCCCATAAGCATTGGAGTTGCGTTTCAGTTTGGGGAGGATGGAGGTCGTATCTTCCATGGAGAGCTGAAAAGAGAGAGAATATGAAAAATTATATACAGAAAGGAGAAGAGGAAGCAAATTTAAGTGAGAAATAAGTACAAGGACTCCAGAAGGTAAGGGGAAGATGTGGAGCAGAAGCAAGCAATAAGAAAAAGAACAAAAGAAGGGAAGGAAAAATTAGACGCTATTTAACAAGGACTTGATATTGCGTAGCATTGGGACTGGGTGAGGCAAGGTCAGTGGGAGATGCAGAAGTAGTCAGTGAGAAGCTTCCTTTGGCTGCTGCCAGTCCTCTATAGACATGCTGCACTGTTCCCAGCTCTGTTAAAGATGTGAGACGTGGCTGATGGATAATTCAGGGAACTTAAAATGGGGAGCTGACACTGTGATAGGCATGACACAGTAACGCTTCATACTATACATATTAATTTTTATGTTACTTTTGGTTTTTATTCTCATATGGTCTTAATACAATGAATGTGACTGTAGCAGTGATGTATCCTGTTTTGAGCACCTACCACTACCTGTAAAGAAATGAGGTCTACAGCTCTGCTTAATTCCCTTTACTCTCTTCTCCATGTTCATCCTCAGTCCCTGAATAACAAGGATAGGAAACTATTGGGACAGGCAGCAGTTACAAGCATCATCATAAAACACAATCCCTCACCAGTTTTCTTCAGAGATGCCAGGCATTGCACGTGAAGAGTTGCTCTGGAAACTGAGTGTAAACGCAGCAGCTAAGGCATCCCGTAACTGTGGAGCTAGGAATGTCTGTATGTAACATGCGAGCTTAAGAGCTCAGGAAGCAGGGGAAGAACAGTAAAAAGTGAGGATACAGCCCTTGTTCCATGATACATTTCCTTTAGTGATGAAGCTGGTTGAAGAACTATCTATGCCCTCACTGGTCATTCCTGCCTGGGCACTGCTGTTCAGAATCCACCCCTTTGTTTCAAGACAGCCTTGGGGCTGTGCTGTGAGCCACCTCATGGAACCAGTCCAGAAAAGAAGCTGCAGAAGGTATCTACCACTATGAGGTTGGAGAGCTGTGACACAAAGGCAGGAATGAAGGGGAATGAAGAAAATTCATAAACCAGCTTTGATATCAAGAAAGGTTTATGAAATTACACTGAGAAAGAGCTACATTATGAGAGAGCTGACTTTGTGTACCTTGTTTTCACCTAGTCAGGGGTGCAGTGAGGAAAAACTGACAAATTTCTTCTAGGCAGTTGCTGCATACACCATTATTTTCCTGCACAAAACTGTTTCTCTAAGCAAAAGATCCCAAGCCATAAGTGCCACAAGGAAAGAGATGTCAATAGGGCGAGGGCTAGTTATAAATATGAGGCCCCTCGATATTCAGTGTCGCAAGGGCTTGCAAACCACAGAGAACCAGAAAATGACAGCCATTTATACTAACAAAAATGGAGCTTCTAATCCTGCCTTTCCAAGAGTACAAAACTATCAAGCTATTTTGTGTTTTCTCCTGAGCACAAAAAATAGTTTGGTAGCACTAATATGCATGATTTCATTTTTCGGATGGTGCTTTTGCATTAGTGAAAATAAATCACATAAAACCATTTTTTTTTTCATGGCATAGGTATTAAGAGCAAAGTACGTGGGTTTTAAATGTTTGCTTGTTTCTTCTGAAGCTTGCTCACCAGAGTTAGCTGGTAATGAGCATCTCCTTCAGGGGACATTAAGAATTCTTTTACAGTTGTATGCAGCTGGAAATGAGGGACGCCTTTCTCCCCATATCCTGGAGAAGATCAAATGATGCTTTAAAGAAAGAGTCCTGATTCTTTTAAACATGCTGGACAGACCCCATTTTTATCTATCAGTGCCCCTAAATCTCAAAAATAAACCTACAAAATGACACACATTAGTTCCAAAGAGGACAAAGGCAATCTCATAGTCACCTGCAGACCTAAATGCCTGCCAGACAGCAAAAGACCCAGAGGAAAACAAGAATTCATCACCGTTCTCCAGGTTACAGACAATTCCCAGAATTTCAGTGGCTCCTAAGGTCTTTTCCAACCCTAACTATTCTATGATTCTATGTTTCCATTCTGGTCTCCCCTGTACTCAATGGCAGGCAAATCCTAGTCTTCCTGTAACTAGAAATGTGAACAGTGGTGTGGCATATACTCACATTGATACCATCCCAGGAAAAATCTGTCCGTGTTTGCTAAAGAAAGCACAGAATGAGATCACGTTAACGTAACAAACAAGTTGCAAACATCAAGATGCATCACTTTGAGGCTGACACAAGGAGGAGCTAAACTACCTGTGTATTTTGAGTATAACACAGGAAGTTACAGACTTATTTCTGCTGGGATTACTTTCTCTTGTATTTCAGTTTGTCCATTCTGACACATTTTCCCTGCACAAACTAGATCCATTTCACGTATGTCCATTATGTCACATATGGCCATTACAGTACCAATTCATAGTGTATTTCCTTCAGCTTGGAGGACTCGCATCTCAACATCTCGGCTTTGGGGATGTGGATGCTCAGGCAAATTTAGATGAATCAGTTACACCTATGGTACGCATTCACATAAAATGTTCACTGAGGTATAGTTTATGCTCATTGATTCCCAGATTTGCATCTGATTTAACCGAATTTTCCATACAAGGTTGAGCCGCACAGTTCCTCCCAGGATTCCATGAAGCAAGTTTCTTGCAGCTACATTCCAAGCCACCAAGGAATAATAAGGAAATAAAAATACCTATACATTAGCATTCTGAAAAGTTTTACAAATTGTATCTTATTTGCTCATGCTATTTGTGAACGTCATTTGTGATTCCTTAAATATTATGTGTTTCAAATAGCTTTGACCTTTTTACTCATCATCATGACTGCATACCCTGAGCCTTACAGAGCTGAAAATTCAGGTATCTAAGATTGAAGAAGCTGCAGTAATTCAGAACAGCGAATGAATCAGCCCCTGAGATGCTGTGTGGTAAATCAGTTGGCAGCGAGTTACTAGGGGGTGCATCCCTAATATCAAAATGGATACAACTGTGTTTCTTCAACAGATTTTAGCTGTACTGAGGAAGCTGGGGCAGACATTGTGCTGGACATTTCAATGAATCCATTATTCAAGGACTGCAGACCTACAGGCTTGTCAGAACTGCCACAGATTTTTCCATGTTCTTTTCCACTCCAGTCATGAGTGGTTAAAAGGACTTTCATTTGCAAATTCTTCCTGTGGATATTGTGAAGGGAGTGACTCAACTCTATTCAGTGCAAGCCAAACTGCACAGATATGAAAGTCTGATCCTTGAGTGCACAGTGGTATTCTGGTCCTCTCCCAGGCTGCCTCAGTAATGCACAACATCCATTTCTGAGCTCAGAAAGAACCGAAACTTTCCGATCCCCATGGGTAACTGGGTGTGGAACAGGCTCTCACCTCAGTGGAAGGTCGATGGAAGCTGCTGCCATGCAGTGAACTGGTGCTGTCCATATTGATTTGGTCCACATCTTTCAGTCCTTTCCAGTCTACTGCAATCACCTCGTTTCCTGTGGGAACACATCTAGTCAGGCTTCTGAATGACACTACAATTTGTTCTAGAAGTCTTAAGCCAGCTCAGCTCAGCATACAGGAGAATCACTGAGTTTTAGGCCACAGAGCCTTAAACCAAACCTTCTGATTTTAAGCAGGCTACTTGTACATCATCAACTATTATATTTCACTCAGTTATCTCCATATCATCCAATATCTGAAGGGGGGCTATAAGGATGCTGGGGAGGGACTCTTCATCAGGGACTGTATTTATAGGACAAGGGGTAATGGGTTCAAACTTAAACAGGGGAAGTTTAGATTGGATATAAGGAAGAAATTCTTTACTGTAAGGGTGGTGAGGCACTGGAATGGGTTGCCCAGGGAGGTTGTGAATGCTCCATCCCTGGTGGTGTTCAAGACCAGGTTGGACAGAGCCTTGGGTGCCATGGTTTAGTGTGAGGTGTCCCTGCCCATGGCAGGGGGGTTGGAACTGGGTGATCTTAAGGTCCTTTCCAACCCCAACTATTCTGTGATCCTATATGAAGACTGGTCATTTGTGTTTTTCTCAAGCATAATGTATGTTTGGCTACAGCTCCTCAGAAAGAAAAAATCCAGTCATAATGTGTGACTGAGAAAGAACCAAAACTCTTTTGATATCCTATTCCAGTATTAAACCATCATCACTTAAAAAGGCATTTCTCCTTTATAATTTGAATTGGTCTGACACCAGCTTAGAGCTGCTGGTGCCCTTGCTTTGCTGTTCTCAGCAAGATTAAAGACCTTTTTAATACCCACCATTACATTTCAGGGAAGTTACTCATACACTTGCTTGTCTTCTTGACAAACAAAACAGACTGAGATCATCAGATTTCTTACTGTTGAGCACTTTTGCAGTCCCCTTAAAAAATCTGTCTCTCTTTTTGAAAGACATCTCAAATGTTTTAGTTTCTTTTAAACGTGGACATAAAAGCATACACAGTAATGTATGTAAACCTAAAAATAGTTACTTACTGCTGCTCTTCAAATTAACCCATTGTGCTCTAACCTCACAGGAGAGTCCCACATTCAGCTGTTTGTTCACTCAGATCCCTAAGCACTTGGCACAGCTTTCCGGGATTGTCACCCATGCAAAAGCAGGGACTGTGCCATTTGATTTTACATGCGTTTTAATACAACTTAAAGTACTTGATTAAATATTATTAACATAAAATAGAAATTATAAAATTGAATTAATAAAAATAAAAATAAGATTAAATTGTAATGAAATTGTAAAAATAAGATTAAATTGTAATGAAAACTAAATGCGAAGTAGCACAGTTTAAATAGTCAGCCAAGTAACCAAAACTACTCTATCCAGTTAGCAATTACTGGTACCATCATCAAGCTTTGTTAAAGGTTATTTACTTCCATGTCACAGAGGGAAGGTTGTACTGTGTTTAAACCAGAGCCATTTGGAACCTGGCAAGAAACACAGTCCCTAAAGTGATTGTCTATTCCTGGGATTGATTCAGCAGTATCTAGTGTATTTGGAATACATGCCATTGCATGTGATTGTTCTATATTCATCAGCTTTTAGCTTTCTCTTTACTCTTTATAGCAGATTTCTCCTTTACAGACACATGCAAACCCCCTTGCTCATTCTAGCATGTTTACAACGGCTTATTACTGCACTTCCTGGACTGAAATCTTCTGGCAGTCAAGAGATGCTGTGCTCCACAGGGCCTGCAGGAAGCACAGAGGCACTTACGGGTGGGAAACCTGAGGCACCCATCAACTACAGTTTAAAATGCAACAGAAATAATTTGGTCCCTTAGAAAGGCTAAATACGGGGAGATGATAACCAGGAGAAAGCAAATCTGAATTGGTGTCTACACACCTTCACATCTCTTTCTGAATCAAAACCCAAACCAACAAGGCATATTTTCACCTTCACATGTGAAGTATGTTTCTGCTCCTCAGGTTAACTAGAACCAAGTACTTTAATAGCATCCCCCGTATGTCTCTGAGCAGGCGGAGTAAAGTTGCTCTCTCCCAAGTTGCAGGGAACTTGAAAGGCGATTCCTGTACTGTATGCTATAAGGGTAACCACAGACATCAGACACAGCCAAACTTCAGAAGGAGGCAGGACATGGCTATGATGAGCACAACAAAGACCACCTTTCAAGGCTGTGATTCTCTTGACTGATTTTATTCACAAGGACATGCATGCATTTGGCCTTACTGAGCTCAGTTATTTAATTCTAATTTAATTCCCATCCCAGGAGCCATCAGCCTACCAAAGGCCCATTTCCACGTGCCCAGAGGAGCACAGTGGGATGATGGCACGTGGGAACACAACTTGCAGACTAAGAGGAAGAGACACCCTTTCTGGGTCCATCCTAGGGCTGTCCCAGGACAGCCTCAACCCCATAGTCAAGGGGAAAGCCTATCAAAATCAGTCAGGGGGAGAGGCTTTCAGATTCATTTTTCTAACTGACCGGGGTGGTTACTGCTTTAGGGGTATGGGACCTACTACAGGAAGCAGGAGAAGAGTATTTGGGGATTGCACTAGATTTATGTGATGAGTAGAGGAAGAACCAACAGCAGGCAAAGCAGGGGGATCTAGGTGGTCTGGGGAGAAACAAGCGTGAGAAAATAGACAAAAAGGGATAAAAGGGGCTGGTAGCATGTAAACACATTGCTGATCAGTAGGGTTGTCTGGCTGGGCTCTGTGCTTATTTTATGCAGACTGTCCTGTCTTCTTGCTAAATTCCAGTTCTATTTCCTGGCATGAAGGACATTCTAGCCTGGGTGCACGTTTCGTGATGGAAGTCTACGTGCCAGGAACTGCAGAAACTGGAGAAGCAGGAGAAGTTACACCTCTTCATAGCAGAAGGCAGCTATACAAAAGAATATAGAATACAGAATACAGAAGAACACAGAATACAGAAGAGTACAGAACACAGAATGTATAGAGTACAGTAGAAGTTATACTTGCCTTCAGTGCAGGTAGCAGCATTATGCCTGTTTTATCTCCATTTACCCTAGATTTACTCCCTGTCCTCTCAGCTGTTTCTGAGCCTAATGCTGTGGCCCTCCTGTAAGTCTAGACAGATATCCTGACACAGTCCAAAACAGGCTGCAGCACTGCTCTACAAATGAGCCAAAGAGACAGACCAACTTCATTGAGCCTGGTGCTCAACACATCCAACTTGACAGGCCCAAAGTTTGGCAAGTGATACTCAACCTTTGTTCCTAATTCTGCTAAACCACTGATGGTTTCCTTCAAGTGTCAGACTGTGGAAAACATTAGCATCATTCTGGCAGATCGTGGCACCAAATGATTGAAGAACATTAACATCAAACAATTATTTGTCTCAAAATCCACACCTCTTCTGTAATAGTAGAGCTGAAGGCCTATAAAATTTCTTTATTACTGGTTTTCTCCAACTGAAATTACCTAGACAAGGGAAGAGACTGAATAATACGTGATCTTGTGTGCACTACAAAGACTCATTATTGAAAATTCTTGGTCTAAACAGTTCCATGGTAGTAAGAAAGAAATAAATATATTGGGAGAAAATAACTAATAAATGTTTTTAAATGCAGTGATATCTGCCAAAGCATTAACACCACCACACACTGTGGCTAAAAAGAAGATGCCTGGATTCTAACTGGCATTGGGCCTGGGGCAAGGTTACTTCCTCTTATTGAAAGTTGGATAAAGGTTAGCGGTTGGATTCTTTTCTTTCTTTTTCTTGCTAGGAATAGCAAAAGCAACTACATGAAGCCTGGTGCTCAATACATGCAACTTGACAGGCCCAAAGTCTGTCAAGTCATTAATCCACAGACATGAAAGATCAAGTTCTGCTCTGACACATGGAAGGAAAAAAAAACAGAAAAATCAGAAAGACGTATGGACAGGGGAGCTGAAAAAAGAGAAAGTGAAGGCAGAACATTATATTTTAGTGTTGCTTTTATTCAACCTCTTTCTTCAATTAGTACGCTGTGTTTTCTGCTTTTGCAACGGCGCATTTCTTCTCCAATACAATTTCTTTTCTCAGCCAACTCCCATTCCAGCTTCTGCTAATCATCATGACTATTCCATTTGTAATTCTATCACCAATCATCTCTTACAAAACAGTATTTGCCCTTCTCCATACAGACCTGATAAGCACTTTGAAACATGAGAGGGTCATAAAGCTGATTTTAAAGTGGGATTTTTACTAATAAATGCTACTGAATTTCCTACTGAAATGTTCTGAAATGAGATGCTGAAAGTTTTCGTGTCGTTGTTTCTGTATGGTGTGTATAGGAAGGATATAGAGGGCTTTCCTTTTCCTTGAACTTTTTAAAGATTTCTTGATTTAAAAAAAAAAAAGTATTATTTGTTTGGGTCTTTTTTAACATCACAAAATCTACTCTTGCTTTGGAAGGCTCAGTAGATGACTGAAGAAGATGTAGGAAGCTAATTACATGAAGCAGTGAGAGAAAATCAAAGCAGCTGAAATATATTAAGCAGCACTGCTTGCAAATCAGGATTGCTTTGTATTTTTAACACAGATTTGATAAAAAAGCTCTGACAAACACCCATCAGAAAAAGATGCCTCCATCACAACTGAAGCAATGTTCCAACTCCAGTCCTCCAAGCCTTTGGGGAAGAAATATCATCCCTTTTTCTGTTACAATACTGTTACGGTAAAAATTAAGATTGGGCCTTTCTAAATAATAGAGATTAAAAACATTTAAAGAGGAAAAAAGATGGGTGAAAGAAAATATCTTTTTCCCCACTTTCTTATTAGTATCATAACTTTGGTCTCTCAGATAACAGAAAACGTGTGTACTAAGCATTCCCAAGTAATACAAAGTAATGACCATTTTGATGAATGCTGGAAACATCCAAGAAATCATCTGGATGACTGCATTCCCCTTGCTGATCTAATATTGTTACTTTTTTCCTTGTTCAGTAGCTCATTTTGCCACATACTTTAATTTACCATGAAGACGCAGATTTTCTTAGTGGGACATATTTTCCATT